CCCTGTGGTTTTCCAAGACTCTAACTCTTTATGGAAGCAGACAGCCCAGCCTTTCTCTAATAGAACTGCATGGTGGTTTCGAACTGCTGACGTTATGGTGAGTAGCCCAACGCACTTAAAAGGCCAATAAACCAAAAAGACCGAACTCACTGCTGCTGAGTAGCTGCCGACTCACAGCGATCTAGAACGGGGAGGAATCGCCCCTGTCACTCTTGTTTAGAAAACAAACTCGCTCCATCAAGTCAGTGCTTACAGTGACTCCCTGTGGGTGTCTGAGACTGAGACTGGAACTGGTTTGTTTTAAAAATCATTTAAAAAATAATAAATCATTTTATTGGGGTAAGACTGGAACTGTTTACAAGAGTAGAAAGCCCCGTCTTTCTTCCACAGACTGCTGGTGGTTTCAAAGCTCTGACCCTGCGGATCACAGCTCAACCCATAACCACTACACCACCTTTCTGAAAGTAGAAAGCCCCTTCCTTCTCTGGTGGAGCTGCCTGGTAGAGATGGGAGGGAGAGAGGGGGCGAGAGAGATAGATTAGTTGCCTGACGCCGGTGGGGAATTCTCAGGAGTGGAGTGGCGTAGGGCGTGTGGGGCAGGGCCTGTAGGTGTGCCTGTTGGTGTGGCGGGAAGTCCCTCTGAACTAGAGCTCACTGCCAGGGCGTAGAGGCGGACTCAGTTGCGGAGCCAAGCCCGGGTGGAAACGCTCCTTGGTTGTTTGCTTGGTGAAGGCCATGTGACCTTCTTGGACTGGCACATTATTTCCCTTTCTACAGCAGCTAGGACACTTTATTGATTTCTTGGAATTTATGTGTGTAAGTAGCTTACATTATCTAGGAATTTCATTGCAGGATGGGGAAATAATATTTCCAAACAATACAACATATTCTTAGTAAAAAAAATAAAATAAAGCAGCTAGGTGGGGAGGCGGGACGGGGGGTGGCAGGGCTGGAGTGGAGTGGGAGGATGAGTAAGTAGTCTGACTGGCCCTAGAACCTCATCGGCCATAGTTAGGTCCATTGAGGTTGACTAAATGCCAGGGGGAGTGGGGGGACTCGCTAACCCAGAGCCTCCTTTTGGTTCCATGTCCCCAATACCAAGACCAACCATCTGACCCACAAAACTCTCTCAGCCCCGCCCCGCCCTGCCCCTGTTTTCAGCTGTTACTGTGGCTCCTGATTTTTGGAGACCGCCGGTGATCTGGAGGAGAGGGCTCCCTCCGTGGGCTTTTTGGACGGTTTGCTGTCTGTAAACAGATGCTAGGTCTTTCTTTCGTGGTGCGACAGCCAGGAGACACCCAGAGGTTAGCAGTGCAACGCAGCTGGCGTCCTTTGTGCCACGGAGGAACCCTGGCTGGAGGCTCAAGGAGGGCCGTGGAAGAAAGGCCTGGTGACCTGCTTCTGCAAGGTGACGGCTTTGAAAACCCTGTGTATCAGTCCTGCTCTGTCCACGGGGGTCAGCGTGGACTGGCTAGCACCTGATGACAGGAGCTGGGGAACTCAAACATGCCGGGTGGGAGGAAATTCAGGCAAGCCCTTGGAGGAGGAGGAGGAGGAGGAGGAGGAGAACGAAGAGCTCATTATTAACATCGACGCTGTGTTATCTGTCTTGGAAGAAGTACAGCCAGAGTGCTCCTTAGAGGCAAGGATGGGTAGACTTTGTCTCATGAACTTCGGCGGCTCTGGTGTCCGGAGGGACCAGTTCCTGGAGAAGGACATCCTGCTGGGTAAAAGAGAGGGACAGAGAAGGAGAAGAAGGCCCTTAAGGAGATGGTGGATGGACACCACTGTGGCGGCCACCCTGGGCTCAAACCTGAGAACCACGGTGAGCATGGCGCAGGACCAGGAGTTGTTTGATCTGTTGTACATCGAGTCGCTATGAGTTGGAACCTGGCACCAACGTTTCCTGGAAGCAGGAGCCCGGGTGCGGTAGTTAAAGTGCTCGCCTGTGGCGGAGAGGTCGGCAGTTCTTATGCACCAGCTGCTTTGCTTGAGGGAGATTTGCAGTCTGCTTCCCCAGAGATTTATAGGACACTGGTGAAACACACAACTTTCCTCTGGTTCTTTCATGCTCTCTCCCTCACCACTCTCATGACCCCACTTCTACCTTACACATCTGGCTAGATCAGAGGATGTACACTGGTACAGATAAGAGCTCGGAGCACAGGGAATCCAGGACAGAGAAACCCCTCAGGACCAATAATGAGAGTAGTGATACCAGGAGGGTAAGGGAAGGTGGGGGGAGAAAGGGGGAACCGATCACAAGGATCTGCATATATCCCCCTCCCAGGGGGACGGACAACAGAAAAATGGGTGAAGGGAGACAGTGGTTAGTGTAAGACATGAGAAACAATAATAATTTATAAATTATCAAGGGTTCATAAGGGAGCGGGGAGCAGGAAGGAGGGGGGAAAAAGGAGCTGATACCAAGGGCTCAAGTAGAAAGCAAATGTTTTGAAAATGATGACGGCAACACATGTACAAATGTGCTTGGCACAATGGATGGATGGATGGATTGTGATAAGAGCTGTAAGAGCCCCCAATAGAATGACTTAAAAAAACAACAACCTAGTGCTGAAAATAAACATTAGCCATGATAAAACAACCAACAACAAAACCGAAGCCCTGTGCGGGAGGTGTCCTACTCTGTCCCATAGGGTGGCTATGAAACGAATGGACAGCCATGGGTTGCGTTGTGTTGTAGTTACTGAGGAGCCTTTGTTTAGCCACGGACCGAAGACAGGCTGTTTAAACCCACCCAGGGGTTCTGAGGGAGAGAAGACCTGATTTATTCCCATCGAGATTACCTGCTGCCATCGAGGTGATTTGGGCTCAGAGCAACCTCACGGAGGGTCTTTACAGGAGCAGACAGCCTTCTCTCCACCCCCACCCCCACAGAGTGGCTGATGGATTTGAACCGCCCACCTTGTGATTAGCAGCCCAATGCCTAACACACAGCACCACCAGGTAAAGACCTTCCTGTAAAGACCACAGCGTAGGACACCCTAGAAGGAGGTTCTACTCTGTCACAGGAGATCCTTGTAACTCCAGGCACGCAGCAACAGTTCATTGGGAGTTCACGGGTGGTGCTAACTGTAAGGTTGAGAGAGGAGATTCAATTTGGTCACAGGGCCAGGTGGGTTGCCGACAGCAAAGTTACCGCATATACTTGTGTAGAAGCTGAGTTTTCAGCACATGTTTTAAAAAAATCACTTCATTGGGGGTTCATACAACTCTTATCACAATCCATACATACATCAATTATGTCAAGCACATTTGTTGCCCTCATCACTCTCAAACTATTTGCTCTCCACTTAAGCCCTCGGTATCAGCTCCTCATTTTCGACCCCTCCCTCCCTGCCCCCCTCCCTTTCAGCACATTTTTAATGCAGTCTGTGTGGTAAAATTAGGTGCCTCGGCAGATATTCGGGGTCGGCTTATACTCAAGTATATATGGTAATTTCTGGGTGCAGATGGGCTAAGGCTATCAGGTGCATCAGCTCAAACTCAGGGCCTAGCAGCCTAATACACTGTACAGACAGGAGGAATGGGCTGGGCCCCTCTTGGGTGGAAACACAGGCTCAGGTCCTCTGGATCATCGGCATTGTGAGAGCTCCTTGTGATGTGATGTGATGTGATGATCATTTCCAGTTGTCGTGTTCGTGGTTTGCCGATTCCTCCGTGGTTGTCCCTGTCCTTGGTTTGCTGGTTTCTGACCAAGGCTCATTCTTTTCTGTGTGCACAGAACTTTTTTACAGGGTCAGCCTTGGGCTGGGCCCGGGGGGCAAACGTGGAGGGACTTTGGCTCCCCGCAGACTTGATTAAGCCTTACACCAACCGAAACATTGGACGTTCAAGCCTTCCCAGAGGGACCCTGGAAGAAAGGGCTGGTGGGATGGGCTGCTGCAGTCTCAGCCACTGAAATCCCGGTGGAGCACAGTTCTCTTCTGACGCGTGGGGTCGCCAGGAGTCACAATCAACTTGGCTGCCACTTGAAATGGTGCTTGAGGCATGATGCTCCCTTATCCTCCTAATGGCTCCGCATCAGAGAGGTGCAGTTACTCAGCCAGGGCCACACAGCAGGCAGCCTTCGAACCCTGAACTCCGGGACTGCAGAGCCAGGAAGGTCCAGGCTGACAAGGGGAAGGAAAGAGGGGAGGGGCCCCGGTGACAGTTGTCCCAGGGCGGGCATAAACAGGATGTGGTATTGGATGAAACCTTCCCCTGTGCCTGCCTCCCCACAGCCCTGGTCCCCACCCCTACAAGACAGCGGAACTGTGAACAGAAGAGGCCTCTGAACAGAAGAGCTATGGTCAGAGGGCCGGGGGTCGTGTGGGAAGGGCTGGGCTGGGAGGGGGCCTGGGTGAAGGCTGGGTGGGGGCTGGAGGCCACAAACAGGAAGGAGGGCTCAAGGAAGGCAAAGGGCCCGGCTGGGAAAGAGAGATGGCCGTTCCGGGTTTAGAGGCAGGCCAGCAGGTCCCTGGGGTCCTCAGCGTCTGCCAGGGAGCCTGTGGGGACTGACCTCAGACCCCACACTGCTCCCCAAGCTGGGTGCCGTGGGGAGGGACCCCTTTGCTGAACTTGCATGGAGGCATCATGGGGGCCAACGCGTCCTTATCCCCATTAGGGAATGGGGACACTGAGGTTTTGGGGGGGGCTGCGGCAAGGGCAGGGACGGAGGTCAGCTCAATTTCTCTGGGTTCCTCGGGCAGTCTGACTCCCTGGTGGTGTGCGAGGTGGACCCCGAGCTAAAGGAGAAGCTGAGGAAGTTCCGCTTCCGAAAGGAGACAGACAATGCGGCCATTATCAGTGAGTGACTGGGGCCCCCCCATAGGGTGGGGACAGGTAGGAAGGGCAGGCTGAGTCTAACCCCATCTCCCCTCCCCCCCCCAGTGAAGGTGGACAAGGACCGGCAGATGGTGGTATTGGAGGAAGAATTCCAGGTGAGGGCCAGGGGCAAACGGGGTTTTAAGAGGTCCAGTGACTGGGAGACCCAAGGGACTGGACCTGATCGGGAGAGCCCGGCATCTGGGGCCAGAAAGACCTGGAAGGCAAGAGACTTTGTCTGCCTGAGTCTCGGTTTCCTCCTTGTAAATGGGACTCATAATAATATCCACCTTGTCTGAGTTTATCATTTGACTGAGTGTCCAGCAAGGCCTAGCTCACATATAGCAATAAAGCAATGATGATCATAATTCCAATAGCAATCATTGATTGGCATTTGTGTGAGCTTCCAGGTAAGTTAACAAATGTTCTCGGAAACTGTGGGCCTCAGCGTCTTTATCTGTAGCAGGGGGGTGGCGGGGGACAAAGATAAGGCTGACGTCAGAGTGTTGCAGACCCATGGAGGCGGGGTGGGGGGTGGGTGGGATGGGGGGGCTGTCTGAGCAGCGGACGATGGGGATTGGCTAGAGCTGGGCTCCTGGGTCTGCTGAGAGGAAGCTTCGTGAGATGGTTACAATTTGCACCTTGATTTCTTTCTTTCTTTTTTTTTTTTTTGCACCTTGATTTCTATCTGAATTCTGTGCGCTCGTTTATGCAAGGCTGCTGGACTTCAGTTTCCTCATCAGAAAAATGGGGGCACATAATCCAGGATTAAAAACAGGGCTCTGGGGAGGTCCAGCGTGTTCGTCCAGGTGTGTTTCTCAGAGCAAATGTGCATTTCACCGCCCCGTGTTTTCTTGTCTCCTGTTTCTTGCTTCAGAACATTTCTCCAGAGGAGCTGAAACTGGAGTTGCCTGAGAGACAGCCCAGGTACCCTGTGGGAAGAGGGATGGACAGGCTGCGCATGGGTTTTATTCCTGAGCTCAGCATCTCTGCGGCCAAGCGTTCAGACCTGGGGGATTTCTTGTTGGTTTGCTAATATTTGATCGTAGATTTCTATGCAGATAGACACATAGGATGTTAGCGTATCGTTTGCTCTTTTTTTTTTTGGGGGGGGGGCACACTGTTTCTGGCCTTGTTCTCAAGGTTAAAGTTGCTTCCCTTTTCACTGGCATTGCGATACCTTTGAGCGTTCGGCCGCCTCTCCTGTGAACCCACGGGGGCCGGGTGCTTTCTGTTTGCCCACATGCTTCTCTGGAAACGGGTGTGTTTCTAGTTTCCATCTCGACTGGGGTCAATTCGGGGTTCCACTAGGGCTTGTAAAGGTGTCCTGGAGGCCGAGTTGGGGACGCATCGGGCGGCTAACTGCAAGGTCAGCAGTTCGAAACCACCAGCTGCTCTGTCAGAGAAAACCGGGGCTTTCTGTTCCTGCAAAGAGTCGCCATCTCGGAAACCCACAGGGACAGCTCTGTTTGGTCCGCTAGGGTCCCTGTGAGTCAGAATTGCTTCGATGGCAGTGAGTTTTTGTTTTTCTGCCTTTTGGAGAGGGTTCAAAGGAGCCCCGGCGACATCATGGTGGAGAGCTCAGCGGCTGACCAAGAGGTCAGGGGCTGGAATCCACCCCTCAGTGGCTCTGGGGACAACAGACCTGACAATCTGCTCCTGCCAACATTACGGCCCAGGAAACCCTTTGGGGAAGCTCTGTGCCGCCCTGTAGTTGCTGTGAGTCAAGATCCACTCTACGGCAAACAAGGGCGCCCCAGACAGGCTCTTGGAGGAGTTCCTGAGTGGCCCAGTGGATTACAAGTTTGCCTGCTAACTCCGAGGCCAATAGTTCGACTCCATCCATCCACTCTATGGGAGGAAGATGAGGCTTCCTACTGCTGTGAGGATTTACAGGTGCAAAATCCCAAAGCAGCAGTTCTGCTCTGTCCCCCAGGGTCGCTGTGCTCTGCTATGAGCCAGAATCGACCCGATGGCCGCGGGTCACACTCAGTGGCTAACTGAAAAGTCGGACGTTGGAGCCCGGAGGCACCGCCAAAGGCAGGTCTCGTGATCACTGCTGGAAAACCAGCCACGGAAGACCCTTCTGGAGCACCATCCTCCCCCGACACACGTGGGCTCACCAGGAGCCAGCGTCTCCTGGATGGCATGGGGTGTCTTTTCATTGCAGGCTTATTCGCCTCCACCCCAGGCTCTAAGCGAATCAAGTCAGCCAAGGACAGCTAGGGGGACACAGCCTGAATGTGTTCTCAGATTGACAGGGAACCAGTTAGTGCCAGCCTGGGTCTCCCGAGCAAGGTCAGTAGTTCAAAGCCACCAGCCCCTCCATGGGAGAAAGATGAGGCTGCTCTTCCCCTAAAGAGTTACAGCCTCAAACCCAGGAGGACAGTTGTGCTCCGTCCCTGTGGCTGTTAGGTGCCACCGAGTCGGTTCCAGTTCATGGGGAGCCTGTGCGCCCCGGAAGGAAACACTGGCCGGTGGTCCCGCCCGTCCTCACTCACCATTGTCCTCAGGTTTGAGCCCACGCTGCAGCCCCTGCGTCCATCCATCTCCTTGAGGCCCCTCCGCTCCTTCTCTGTCCCTCTCTTTGACCAAGCATGATGCCCTGCTCCAGGGACTGGTCTCTCCTGACAACATGTCCACCGTGCGTGAGACAAAGTCTGGCCGCCCTCGTCTCTGAGGAGTATTCAGGCCGCGCCTTTTCCAAGACAGACTTGTTTGTCCTTTTGACAGGGTCCATGGCACTTTCAATATTCTGCAGCCGCACTGCCGTTCAAATGCATCACTTCCTCCGTCTTCCCGGTTCCGTGTCTAACTTTCACGTGCATATGAGGCGGCGGGAAATGCCACGGCTCCACTCTGTCCCTAAGGAGCCCTGGTGGAGGAGTGGCTATGTTGCTGTGACCCGAAAGGTCAGTGATTTGAAGCCATCAGCCAGCTCCGAGGAGAAACCACGGAGATTCTACTCCTGTAAACAGTTACAGTCTCAGAAACTCACAGGGGCAGGTCTACCCTAGCTAGGGGCCTCTATGAGTTGGCATTGACTCCAGGGCGCCCTCCACCGAATGGAGCCTGCGGCACATTGAATCAAGCCTGTCCAGATGACCTAGAATCTTCTCCGAAACTCCGGGGCTTTGTGGGTAGCACGCACTCAGGGGGGCCCTCGCCCTAAGGGGTTCAACCTCTCCTGCTGCCTCCTTGTTGAATAGAAATCAGTTTATCTGTGCACAAGCCTGGTCAGTAAAGGCTGGTGGGACACAGCATGTACTGGGGGCCTGGAGTCCTGACTCACCTGAGGTGTCAGTCACTCGCTCCCCTCCCCGGCCAGTGACCACGCCTGCCCTCCCCAGGTTGGCTGGGTGGAGCGTGCACCCCTGAATGACAGGCCTCAGGGCTGCCTCCCCTCATCCCTCCTACCCCTGAGGGCCTGCCCACCCTGTGAGAATCCCCAGCCCCCAGAGAGTTCAACATCAGACAGCAAAGAAAAACCATCAGGACAGGTCAAAGGTTCCCTGCTGGCACAGCAGGCTAAGGTTGGGCTGCAAGCTGACTGCTTCTGTCAAGGTTTACAGCTTCCAAAACTGAGGTTACGCTGAGTTGGACTCCACTGGACGGCAGTGGGGAGCAGAGAGGCCTAGAGAGAGAGACTGCGGCGGCAAAGAAAAAGCCCCCGTTCCTGCTTTTTCCTGATCAAGAAGCCACACGTTATCCTTCTTCTAGCTGACCAGGCCCAGCCGGTGAGAGCTCGCCCTGCCCTCAGCCAGCTAAGAGTGGGGGCCAGGGCTGGACTGGGGCTGGTGCCTGCCCCGAATTTCTTGGCCTCCCATCTTTCCTCTACCCCTCAAACCTTGGCCAGTGACTTCACCACTGGGCACCCCAGTTTCCACCCCTAACCCCTGTAACACCCTTTGCGATGGGTGAGGGGTGGAAACTGGGGTGCAGAGTGGTGCTGCGATGAAGTGGATTCTGACTCAGAGCGACCCTATCAGACAGATTAGAATGGCTGCTTAGGGCTTCTGAGCCGGCTACTATCGGGGCAGACGGCCCCGTCTTTCTCCCATGGCTGGTGGATCTGAACTACCCATCTTTTGGTTAGCAGTCCATTGATGACCCCCACAGTGCCACCAGCGTTTATTCTTCTCATCTGTAGGACTCAGGTAATAAAGAAGCCAAAAAGCAAGCCACAGAAACCCACCTCCCTGCCACGGAGACAATCCTGACTCAAAGTGACCCTATCGGACAGGGTAGAACTGCCTCTTTGGGTTTCCAAGACAACAACTCCTCTTCTTTGTTTTAATGAAAAGATCATTTTATCGGGGGCACTTATAACTTTCATTACGATCCATACATCAGTTGAATCAGGCACGTGTGTACATATGTACAATGTCTTTTCTAGAAATTTACTTTCTATTGAGCCCTTGGGATCAGCTCCTCTTCCCCCACCACCCTGTGACCCCTTGAGAGGTGATAAATTATGATTATTTTCATCTCTCCCTACCCCCATGGTTTCTGTTGTTTTTTCCCCCTGGAGGGGTGTGTGTGGTTATGTGTCGATCATTGTGATCGGTTCCCTTTTCCTCCCCTCCCCTCCCCCCTTTCCCTCTACCCTTCTGGGATCAGTATTCCCATTCCTGTTCCTGGATTCCATGTGTCGTGAGTGCTTATCTCTTATCTCTACCTGCGCACATGTTCCAGTCTAGTCCAAAGTGAGAAGCAGCACTGGGGTCATGATGGGGGTGGGGTGGGGTGGAGGGGTGAGGAATCCTCAAGGAACCCAAGGAATATTGTGTGTTCCATCGGTGTTTGTACCCTGGTTGACTCATTCCTTCCCTTTGACCCCTCTGTGGGGGGATTGTTCCATTGTTTACAGATGGGCTTTGGGTCTCTGCTCCGAGCCCCCCTCATTCTCAAGATTATATTTTTGTTTGTTTGTTTGTCTGTTTGTTATGTGTCTTCTGGTGCCTGTTACCCAGTTCCAATGACACCTCACGATCGCACCAGCTGGTGTGCTGCTTCCACAAGACTACAACTCTTTAGAGGATGAGAAAGCCGCCTCTTTCTCCTGTGGAGAAGCTCATGGTTTTGAACTGCTGATCTTGCAATTAGCAGAACAACGTGTAACCGCTATGCCACCAGGCCTCCTTTGGATAACAATAGCACCCCCTTCCTAGGGTTTCAAATCCAAACCCACTGCCATTGAGTGGATTCAAACTCAGAGCCGCTCTGGAGGACAGAGTAGAGCTGTCCCTTGGCCGGCAAAGATGTCCATCTTTACAGGAACAGAGAGTTTGACTTTAGACTTCGGGCCTTGCAGCGAGTGGTCCCATGCGTGCCCCACTCCACCACCGGGGCTCCTGCTGTCGGGTTTTAGAGAGCGTCCACTAGCGGCTTGTGATGCCGATCATTACCTTTCAACCTTTTGCTGGGTCTGAGGGTGGCATCCTGGGCCCCGGGTGTCAGCCCCAGGCTGCCAGACTCAGCCAAGATTTCCGGGTTGTGTCTTGGATGGTGGGCGTTGGACCTGGGCTGCAGACCAGAGTCCTGAGTGGGAACCCCGTCTCGCTGGTGCAGGTTCGTGGTTTACAGCTACAAGTACGTGCACGGGGACGGCCGCGTGTCCTACCCCTTGTGCTTCATTTTCTCCAGCCCTGTGGGTAAGCTCCTGCTCCGTCGCTCCTGAGAAGGGCTGAGGTTCTGACTCCATGTGTGGGTGTGAGTGTGTGTGTGTGTGTGAGGGTCTGAGGATGACCATTTGAGAGTGTGTGACTGTATGCGCCAGGGTGGGTGCGGGGTGTCGAAAAGTCCATGGGAAAATTCTATTATCTTTTAATCCCGTTTGCCACCGGCTGTTTTGAAGCTCCCTTCCCCCACAGGTGTATGTGGATCAGAGTGCGTGTGTGTTGATGGGTGTCCGTCGTGTGTCAGTCTCTGTGGGTATGTGGCCGGCTTGTGCGTGGGTGTATGGAATATTGGGATTGCTAAGTGTGTGTGTGTGTGTGTGTGTGTGTGTGTGTGTGTGGCGGGAGGGCAGTTCTGTGGGGGTGGGGGCTCAGACTGTCACCCAGCCCACCCATCCCCCTCAGCCCCGAGACAGAGGCCCACCCACTCCCCTTTTTATGCAGAAAACCATGTCTGCGCCCTAAATTACCTCCAGGGATCCTTGGAATAATGTCCAGCCCCCACCTCCCCAGTTCTGGGGGTCACCTCCGGGGGGAACTCCGTCGAAGGGCTCCTGGGGGCCTCCCAGCATCCAGGTTCCTCTCCCCTGGCAGGTTGCAAGCCCGAGCAGCAGATGATGTACGCCGGCAGTAAGAACCGGCTCGTGCAGACCGCGGAGCTCACCAAGGTCTTGGGGCCGCGAGGAGGGGGTTTCGGGGTGGCGGGGAGCGGGGCTCCGGAGCCCATCCTGACGCTGAACCCCGACTTCCTGCCCAGGTGTTTGAAATCCGCACCACCGAGGACCTCACGGAGACCTGGCTTCAAGAGAAGTTGTCTTTCTTTCGCTGACCTCTGGGCTGGGGAGCGGAGCTCCGGCTATCTGAGCCCCCCCTTCCCCCTCTCCCCCTCCGAGAGTCGGGGACGCAGACCTCTGCCTTTGTAAGACCCTGAAGAAATTAAACGTGCCTCTGAGCGCCTCGGTGCAGGCGTTGGCTCGGAATTCTTTGTGGATCCCTCCTGCAGTACCCGGCTGCGGCCGGCAGAGGGCGAGCCGAGCCATGGAGCGGCGAGTGGAGCCGGGTCCCGGCCCAACGACGTGCACCTGCTTCTCGGAAGGGGCGGGCGGGGCAGGGCGAGGCGAGTAGCGTTTCCTAGGGGACCGGGGAAACCTGGAGGAATAGCTGAATCCGTGGACAGGTCCCGCCCAAGGGAGCAAGGACACCTAGGCTCCTGGTAGTAAAGCAGGCCTGTCCCCTGCGCCCTCCACCACTCTCCCCTACCGGGTTGCCCTTTTCCTGCCGAGCCCAGGCAGGAAGAGCTTCGCAGCAGAAAAGTTGTCGAAGGATGGAACGTGAACTGCTTCAGGGGCTGAGGGGTCGCTAGCAGTGGGTGGGTGGCTTGTGGGGTTAGGTAGGCCTGCGAGCTCAGGGATGGGAAAGGTGTAGAGGATCCACGACCCTCGGTGGACCCTCTAGAGAAGGTGTGTGGTGGAGGAGACAGGGTTAGGACACCCCAGCGCCTCCCCTCCTCAGAAAGATCCTTGTTTTTCCTGGCATCTGCTTACTTGACTCGGCCTATTTGTCTCTCTGTCTCTAAGTGACATTTATGGAGCACCCACGGTGTACCTGGGAATTCTGAGATGTCTCCCTCGTCAGAGAGATGAATTACCCATCTTTCTTTCTCTCCTTCTCCTTGTCTCTGACTGTTCCTCTCTCAGTCCCCAGATACAGGACATTGGGAACCCCCCTCACCCACACCCTTTTCCAGGTTCCCTGTAGAGAGGTGGCTGTTGCCATGGAAACAATGACACAGTGACCTTGGGCCCAGGCCGCCCCTCCCCCAGCCCTGTCTTTCCTGGGGAGGGCACACAATCCTAGCTCCAACACCACCCATTCCTTTCCAGCCACAGGACACCACCACCCCTCACTTCCCTACCCTGTCCCACCCCTTGTCCCCTTGTCCCCAATTAGGGCAAGCCTTGTGCATGAGGGCTTCAGGACTAAACATTGAGCTGTAAAGAAATCCCCTGTCATCCCCAGT